AGGGCAATGAAGAGGCTACTGTAGCAGCCTGATCTACCATGGTGGCAGTGAAGACAGAAGAGGAGAAACTTGTGGTATCTTAAGAGAATAGAATCAACAGTACTCGCTGATAGACGCAGTGAGAGGAAGGAGGGACAGGAGTAAACAGGATGATTCTGAGGCTTCTGACATGAGAAACTGCACGGATGGTGGTGCTCTTGATTAAGATGGAAAGGATACTTGTAGGGAAGTGACCAGTTGGGGGAAGTAAGAATTCTGTTTTAGACACGTTAAGTTTAAGTGCATGTGCAACATCTAAGTAGAAATGTCAACTGCAGATATGTGAATCCAGAGCACAGACGAGTGGTCTGGCTTAGAGGTGTAAATCCTTGAGAACATTTAAGATCACCTGGGAAGAGACTTTTTAAAAGAGGGGGCGGGTGGATAGAAAAGAAAGAAAAGTCCAAGAAGAATAAAATTTTTAAAAAGAGAAAAAGACCTAGAACCAAACCTTAGAATCCAATATTCAAAGGTTGAAAAGAGTAGGGGAAGCCACAGAAAAGGAACCACCAAGGACATAGAAGGGAAACCACAGAGGTGAAGAGAGACAGTGCTTGCAGGAAGGAGCGGTCCGCTGAGCTGAATGCTCCAGAAAGGTCTGGCATCACGGAGTTTATTGTTTCTGCCTCTCAAAATGTTACCCCTCCTTCAAAGCCCAGGTAAGATGGCCTGACCTGAGCAATCGCTTTCTCAGCGGTCACCAGTGACCGCCCATCTCTGCCATATCCAGTGTCTTTTCTCAATCCTCATCGTCCTTGTTTTCTATTAGCATGTGATATCAGGGATCACTTGGTCCTTTGTGAAACTGTCTTTTCCACTGAGTTTCCATGTACATAACCCTCTCCTGGTTATTCTACTTTTTAAAAACTTTATTCTCTGACTCTTCTTTCCCTTTCACCCCATAAGTGCTTGTGTTTCCTGAGGTGTCCTCAGATCCTTTCTTTGCACCCTGTGTAATCTCATTTATGCACAAAGCTTCTGCATCACCCTGCACCTCATTCCAAACCCCAGATCTCATGCCAAACCCATTCTCTCTCTCTCAAGACTCAACCTCTCATTCTCAATTTTCTGCTAGACATCTTTTACATCAGAGTCATTCTGACATTTTAAAAACCATTATTTGGGGCCGGCCCGGTGGCGCACTGCTACAGTGTGCCGCTTGTGAGCGCGGTGGCGCTCCCGC